AGTCAGTACGACTTTACTTGAGTTATACTATGTTTTTTATTTCTGAAAAATTTGCTTTTCACACACTTAGACGGATTCATTAAATGATCAAATTTAATCAATAACTAGTGCTCATTAAAATGTCTCCGTTTAGGTAATATTAATTATAGCGCTTAAGATTTACTATAGTCGCTGTGCTTCACTCTGTTAGTAGCTAGTTGCCTATTTCTATTTCTTTTAGTAACATTTATTTCTGACATAAAATTAATTAATCCATTCTCTCTTATCAAGTCACAAGTTCCCGCCATCTCTAACAGTTATACTTTTTTAATTAGAAAAAACTATTACTTCGAACGTAATATCATACATTCGCACAACAATTTTATTTTAACAATATTCACAATTATTTCCTAACGTTATTGTTGCGACCACTTAAGTAAACACATCCTTATAATATTCTGTGATACCCAATCACTTGCAATAGCCTTTTTCCAATAATTATATTAAAATGGCGATATATCTACATATACCATGGTACATACATCGCCATAATTTCGATGTACAACTTCAAACCGGATTTAGTATCGGATTATATAAAAATAACCGTATATATAGAAATATTTTGGGTTCCATTTAGTAATTCGTCCGTCACTTCTATATGGTTGTGTAGTTTTTTAGCAAAGCTTCAAAGATTACTATTCGCTAGCTAGAAATTGCATAAAGTCAGGTTCTGAGAAGACTTTTCAAAGTGCCATGGTACATTAGGACGAATGACATCCTCAGGGACCTCAAGATTGATCCCAACAAGAAATACATAAAGAATTGAGTCCTGAAATTATTTGCGAAAACTGACAGACTTACCAACACCGCGTTATAAAATCTCAGAATGGTTACTGGCTCCTCGGAGAGGTATGCAGATCTGAGGTCAATTATTGCGTAGTCTGATGAAGTGATAAATAATAATCCAGTCATGGCGTAAAGAGGGGTTTCGAAAATACCTCGAGTTAAAAAAGAGTAAAAGAGCTCAAGTGCACTGGCTCGAATAGAAATAAATAATTCAGTAAAACGAATAATTTTAGAACATTTCAGATTAAGTTCTGCTGTTTTCTTTTTAGATTTTTTTTCCATCTCAATTAGGCATCAAAAGTTATAGCATGTAATTTCTAAAAACTCATTTGGTCATTCATAATAACAACATGATAATAATTTATTTACTAAACAAATTTACTAAAAATTATTTAAAATTTACTTTACTTTCAGTTTACTTAATGTGCCACTTTTTAGTTTGGGTCATTATTTTGAAGCCCATTCTATAGTGCAACTATATCAATTGTAGTGCATAATTTTTAAAAAAAAAATTTCAATGTCTACTCAATAAGGATGATTGCCATGACATAACGTATATAATAAAATATTATTTGCTCCATATAAAGAAAATGTAGCATTAATCCAAAAATGTTTCGTCTGGAACTCTAGTCTAAATTTCATGTAATTAGAATACTTACATCGTTCTTTCCGGAGAGTGTACATGACTTCAATTAAAAGCTATATTCTTATAAAAGTCAAATTGTTCAGTTGTAAATTAAACGTTTCTCAACTAAGACCTATACAACACTAAAGAATTCTTCACTTTCTTGAAGTTATTTTTTGATTTCAAACATTTAAAAAAAAATGGTAAGTGATTACTTCTAGTAAAAAACCACCACAAATTAATAATCGATTTATGGAATAAAATAATATATTATGTAAAACCTAGACATATAACTTGAATTAGTTTTAATTCCTTTACGAGTAAAAGCACTGTTATTCTATTATCAGAAAGTAACCCACACATTATTCACGAAAAATATAGCCTGAAATATCACCTTTCAAACACACATTCATTTGACATAATCGGATTAGTATTGCCAGATATATGCTTACCAACACCATCTAGCGAGAAAAACGGAGGATACCTTTTATATTACCTAACTAATACTCGTATTTATCATAGTGCACATAAATAAAATAAAAAAATAAAAAATAAATTATAAACCACATTACAGACATCTTTGATTTTGTTACTTGATAAAACATTTTTTCTTTTATTCCTTAGACTTTTCCACATCATATATCATTTACATTAAACAATTCCTACAATAACTTAACCTTACGAACCCACTTAACATTTAAAAATATACGTCCATTATGCATTTTATAGGCTCTTCTTGTAGCTTCGGTACTCACTTAAGAAATATGTGATTTTTATATGAATTTTCGGCTAAATCTTTTAAACCGAAATATGGAATCACATAGGACGACCTTTTTTTTAAAAAAAATTAAAAAATTCTATACCCAATTGTGGTCACCAAAAACGTGACCAGAAGTGAAATGAAGCACTTTACCGTTTCAGTACATTTAACGAAAATTACAAGAAATTCAAACTGAGGCCAAAGTAGACGTAAGTAACGAGTAAAAATAAGAAGAAAATTCTCAAAACTCAATATGCAGTTAGTTGAAGGACACCTAGCAAAAACAAGCGAAAGCAACAAGGACTAATACTGTTACTATTCCAATTCCGAATTTCAGTACATAACTGGAGAGAAAGTAGGAGAAGCATGAAGTAAAATTTAATATGTTCGCTTATTTCAAGCATGAAATCCTTCAAAATGAAACTGGATACTCGACTGTGTGTGCAAACTGTGTGTGGATTTGGTCCTAACAACTTAAGGCAAAATAAAGTAATTGACAAACTGGAAGCACTACGGAGAAGGAATTATGAAAAAGTAATTGTAGCCAATGTCAGATACATTATATATAATAATGGAAAGGTGTTTATACGATATATGATTATGTGAGCATTGCTGTGGCAGAGTATAAATAATATATAAATTTTAGTTAAATTTATGCAAAAGTTATTATAGCCCTAAATCAACATATTCCAATATAATGGCACAACCTAGGATGTTAATATCAAAATATTCACAGTTCTATCTTATAATAGAATCAAATCTATTGTTTTTATTAAGTCATGTATCGTACTAACTATAGGAAGCAAGAAAAAGAAATATAGATCTGCATTTCTTTTTAGTACTTCTTAGAAATGAGATAGTTTTAATGAAGACTTGACTTGAAGATTTGACTTAGCTTAGACCGTTTTAACACCAAGCGTTTCCTAGTTTTGCGGATACAAGAAACCTATGAACTAACCGCATCAAATGTAATCAGCTTGACAAAGATGACAATCGTTTAAGCTTAAGTTGATAAATAGTCTTGTACTACAGTTTTGACTACTCCATTCTTATATTTAATCATATAAGACATATTTTCAAGATCATATGTTCACAATAACAATAACTAGACTTATTTAATACCACCACTATTTAGTCATATTCTTCAACATTTTTCATCATACAGTATTTGACCACGTATTCTCTCTTTCTTGATGTCAATATTTCGATATATTACTTCTCTTGTTATATTACTATAACTTCTCAAATATTACTATAACTACAAATGGATGAAATGAGGTGTGGATTAAGTTAGGAATAAGTTAGAATATAACACAATTGTGTTACTTGAGAACACCTTCACCAGTTTCATGGTACTTGTTATCAACAGAAAGTTTATTCCTTATCCATCATAATTTGTGGATGTTGGGCAGTATCCTTAAATTTGTAGCTTTAGTCCAAATGCAAAGTAATAGATCACAATGTATTACTAGTATTACTATTTTATATAATTTACACAAGATTTCAAATATATATGTATTCTTCACTTATTTTATTTGGAGACTAATCCCGTAATGTCAGATTTTTTATTTGCAAAAACATTTATTTTGCTCCAAATGCAGTGAATTTTTAACTCACACAATTATAAATATGAATAGGAGCAGAAAATTTTGAATGTTACAAAAAGGTATGGCCTTTCATCTAGCTCGGGATATTAAAAAAATTATTAAGAACACAACCAAAGAAATTTTTGATAGCCGTTTATATTAAACTGGCCTTGAGGTGGGGTTGGGCATTAAAGTATTAACTTTCTACGTTTTTTCACATTATCTAGCCATAAGTAACAGAAACAACTATAAGTTCTTGAATGGTTGAATAATAATATATTAAAATGTGTACATATCCGAAGTTATAGAATGTAAAGTATATATAGTATGTAAAGTATCCGGAATTGAAAATTTAGGAAATGACTTATCATATATTACATTTAAGAAGCATATGTTTTACTTGTGTATATATACAATTTGCATGAAAATTAAAAATAATGTGGGATATATATGTAGAAAACATCTGAAATCATTAAATATAAAAAGTAGTAACCAATTAATCAAAATACAATTATGACAAATAATTAACGAGATAATATTTTGTTGTATACAATAATTCCGGTTACTTTGTACATTGCATAAAAGATGAATTATATTCAAAAATCTAACATATGATATTTTTTTATGAACCCAAGTCTATAATATATTTAAATATATTATGATTTGCATTTTCCGATATTACCCAATATAGATTAAAGGTTTATCTGAGTAACTATAGTTTATATAATTTATTGCCTGTACAGTCTATCGTTATTGTTATATAGTTCTACAAATTAGACCACACAACACTGTGGTTCTTATATATTTATATAAATAAATATATAAGGATATAAGCGTACGATTACTTACGTTGAATGGTTTTCCAAACTCAAGTAGAACGTTAATACGTCCAGAAGCCACAATTTATCAAAATAGCTAGGAAAACATTATTATAACGGAAGTACACGATAAGAATATTTTTATTCGCTGCAATTCTAGAAGACTAACATATATAAATACGCTATTCAGTACTGAAATTCATTATAGTAAGAACCGGACCCTCGCCAAGATGTTAAACTCCAAGTTAAGCGTAATTTTATTAATATGCATTTCAATATTTTCAATAGAAACAAAAGCAGAAGTTCAATTTTTATATAAATATAATGATAACGATGACGATAAGTCAATAAAATTGAATGAACTAAGTAGTAAAATTTGCTTAGGAATGGGTCGTGAATTGAAAGAATTGCGTAGCATCATTTCAAAAGTTCTACAGCCAATTACAGAAACAAAGAAAAGCCAAAATGCAGAAAACATAAACAATAACTTCTCCCATAAATTGGATATTAGATCTATTTCGGCAGTGCCAACGAAGGAGATTCCTGACAGAACGACCACTGAACAATTGCCAATGAGTTGCGCTGAAGCAATGCCTGACGGCAGTAAAAAAAGTGGTATTTACAAGATTTATCTACCCGAATCTGATCTGAAACCTTTCTATGTATACTGTCAATCGGATCCAGATAATAGCACTGCTTGGACGGTTGTTCAACGACGTGAAGATAGCAGAGTAAATTTTTTTGCTGATTGGAAAACATACAAAGCAGGTTTCGGTAACTTAAATGGCGCCTTCTTTATTGGTTTAGATAAATTGCATGCTCTAACACAGTCCGAACTACATGAATTATGGATTAGGCTAGAAGATTTCGAAGGTGAAACACGTTATGCAAAATATGATTTATTTGCCATTGGCGATGAATCCACTCAATATACTTTAAGTATTTTGGGAAAATACAGTGGAAATGCTGGTGATTCATTTAGTTCGCATCAGGGGCAAAAGTTTTCCACAAAGAATGTTGATAACGACATAACTTCTAAAAATTGTGCTGAACGATACAAAAGTTCTTGGTGGAATTTTGATTGCTATGATAGGTAAAAAAAACCTTCCAGTTTTTATGGTTATAAGTTTCTTCTTATAGTATATTTCATTTAAAATAGTAACTTAAATGGTGAATACGGCAGTGGTTATAAAAATTACACTGGAATAAATTGGAAAACTTGGCATGGTATTGAATATTCACTGAAAGGTGCAATAATGGCGATCAGACCAAGTAAAAGTTAATATGATACTTTGAAAAAAAAATTATTTTATGAAGTAATATATTAGTTAACAGAGTTTCATCATATATAACAAATGTATATAAATAAAGTCTTTTTTGAAATTACGAGCTAAATAGCTTCACCATTTTCTATTACATTTTCTATTATGTTGTAAAAGTGAGACGGTTTCTATTCCCCTTAAGTAATATAATACCATATATATAGAGATTTTTTTACAATCAAAATAATTGCATACCATAACACATATAGATACATACATTAATTCGAAATCCATTTCTCAATAATTCTAGACGCTATTACTTAAGATAATTAATTATCAGTAAATGGATAAATTCAAGGTTTGACGAAGTGTTAATATCATTCATTAAGAATAATTGTTTATGCTCGAATAAATATTATTCTAAATTGAAAACGTGTTTGTGTGAATTTAATTAGAAGAAAATTTAGTTGAAATGTATAAACCTTAGTCTTACTACGAAAACACGGTATTGTACATACTATATATATATATAATAAACCAATAAAATATGAAACATATAAGCAGGGCTGTAATCACTATAGTTCCAATACTTTCATTCGTGTGGTTGCGTTGCATTTTGTAGCTGTGTTAGATTTTGTGATTGCGTTGCATTTTGTGGTTGCATCACATTTAGTGATTACGTTATATTTTGTGATTCCGCTGCATTTTGTTATCATAGTTGAATATGCAAGCCAGAACGATATTTACTCACTACAAATAGGTCTGTTTTTTTCTTATGCAAAATCTTTCAAATTATAAGTATATACAATTCATGTATCAATTCGAAATTCTTAATTATTATCATACATTATTTAATTATAAAAAGGATATACCTACTTACCTCTATTGCGACCACTGGTGAAATTCTATAGCAACTTTTTACTTCATTTTTTTTAAAAAATTGTACAGCACGTTTTACTCATTTTTATATTTCAAATTTCACTCAAAAAGCTTATAAATGTTTACTTAGTCACTCAAGTATATATTATTACACAATATTTGATTTAATTCGATCAATTTTTTTTTTTTTGAATTGTTTACTTCTTTACAATAATAATATATTAGTATTAATATCATTTTTTGTAGTTTTATATTTAATTGTAATAAACTATTGCAATAAATTCATTAATATTAACTTTTGTCCACAATTTTTCGATATTAACAAACCACCATGAAAAAATGAATTGCCCATTACACTAAATCCTTTGTTTTCTCATTTTCACCTCAAATGCTGTTGCTATTGTTGCTGTAGTAAATATGATTGATCACAGCGGAGGTGACTGAAATTGACTTCACCAATCTTGTTTTTTTGTTCGTGCAATCATTTTTATTAAAAAATGCAATATTCTTCGTTGGCTGTTTTGCGTGCAAATAACGGAATATTTTGTATACGCTGTTTTTGTTTTTGTTCTGATTTTTGTTTTTATAAAAATTATTATTTATACTTTAACCACACATTAAAGAAAAAGCAATAAGCAAATATTTATTCACTACAAAATCACATTTCATTTACACATTTTGTCTATAATTTTTAAATAAATTAAATTGGCAGTAGTTTTATATATTGTTTATACATATTTTTATAAAATAATATATATTTTTATTCTAATAAATGAATTAAATTGTTAATTTAGTAATACTTATAATAAACCCTATACGACACGCTGAAACACTAAACCGACCTTTATCGAATCGAACCGGCAACTGTCTTAGCTTTCGTGGTGAAATACTACATTATGACGTTGCAAACTCATTTGTTTCCTATAATTGCATTAAACCACTGGGTTTAGTGTTTTTTAAAATACACCATTAGTTAATATGAAATCAATAATAGAACCTTAGCCGATTGGAAAAATTCTGGGTAGTGTTGATATTAATTTTATTTTTTATTAGTAAAATATGTCGTTTGTTAATATTTTATATGGAAAGTCATTGAAATGGAAAGAAATTGAAATGATCTACATAATTTTTAAAAACAAAAAGGTACGGTGGAAATATTTTGATATCACATTTTGGAGAAATATTGTGAAATTTTATAACTCCTGTATTTTTATTATTATTATAAACAAAACTCTGTATGGTCAGACCTTCTCTTAAGATTTTACTGCATTGATTCTCTTGACAGGCGCTTTTTCTAGTTCTTTGCTATGGCTCTTTCATTAAACATTTTTATCATATTATCCAGAAGCCTTATTCTTTAAGACTTAACGTTCCACATAATAGTTCAAGCATCATTTCACCGAAAAAACTTTAGGTGAAAAATGCAGACTATAGAACTTGCATTCGTATTTGAAAACTGGATCACATTTCCATTGACTTAAGCATGTTTATATAGTTTTTTCATATAATGAAAAGAGAGTTCTAGTAGAAGTTGATTCTAAAGAGTTTGAGTTTTTTCACTATTTCAAATTTATCGAGCTCCAATTGTTATTTTAAGAAGTATTTAGTATTTATCTGTATTATCTGATGTGCAACTCTTTATTATCTAGCTAGTAAGACTTTTAAAATGTTGGCCCTAAAATAGAGCAATAATCTATCGTTCATTTATTTCTAAACAAATCGCACTTTGGTATCCAAGTATATCGTCTATCAAAGCTACTATATATGGACTATGGCCAATTGTAGAGTTAGCAGAAATTACTAATTAGAAAATAGAAAGTCTGATGAAATCTGAATTCACCAATAAAGCTTACCACATGTAATCTGACAGGAAAGGTTCTTGCTGTTCAAAGCTTTTTTTACCGAACTACTCGAAGATGAAGAGTTAATATCATAATATCTTGAATATCATTAGAAAAACTAAATAAACATAACGTGCAGTTTCGATTTTCGAAAACCGACGAAACATTCTTATATTCTTGCTTGGACATGCTTCAATGTCTTCCTCTTATACAACGTAACAGAAGAATTTTCCTCAAAGAATTGATTCAGAAGTCTGAGCGGTCAAACAGCGATCAATTTTACTGGATACAGGTGTTTTTGTTTAAATACTTAACATTTATTTATTGTATCTGCTCTTACAATGAGACTAACAATAAATTTTAAAATCTTGTCACTCATTACATAATATTACAATTTTTTATTTTAACTATACATTGTATAATAAATATAATAAATAAACCTTATATCGCGGACCTCACTTAAATCAATGAGTCAAATTTCATACAGTTGGAGTGAAAAAATTCTTAGGTAATTATGCATCTGGTAAGATACAATAGTTCGTCTATGGTATACAGATGAAAAATTAACTCTATTAATTTCTATTTAAAAATTCGATGAATTAAATGGAAGTGCCTTAACCAAATTCTTATGATTTGTCAATTGGAACCAAATAGTACAGAATCAAGAAGCTTTTTCTATGTTTTTTTCACTAAATTATAATAAATTTCAGATTTATGTACGTTAGAAACATTACCTGACCGTCAGTATAAAAACTAATAAGAAAAGTTCCAATTATTATAATTATTTTTAAATTTTATTTTTATTCATGTATATATGTTTTGCAAGCGATGTGATTAATCTAAAACATTTATTTATTTAAAATTAATTTTTTTAAATAAGTATTTATCGTACTCCTCACATAACAGTTTTATTAATAAATACTTCAAATTTCCAATGGAACCTTTAGAACCTAATTATACATAGTGCGCAATAGAGCAAAAAATTTATAAGATATTTGAAGTAACTGAAAATAGAGAATAAATTATTAATCTATACAAGTACCTTTAAATATTTAAAATCAACTCACATCCGTCATAGTTACGTTAGAGATATTAATTAACACAGTAGCTTTAAGCACAGCAGGTCTCTGAGCCCGTCTAGCCATTTGAACCAACATTTTTTTATATTTCAAATCAGCTTCAAACCAATTATGTATATAAACTGCATTAGAAATTCCGGCACTCTGGAAGAAATTTATTTATTTTGAATTCAAAGCATTTAAACTTACACAAATTAATCTTACTGCTTCTAACAGTTTCTGTCCAAAATAACAGATAAGATAGGCCTGCGCTGAAGAGGAAAATAAAAATAAAAGTAATTTAAGTAATATTTCTGTGCTAACTCCAGTTGTTAATTGGAATCCTAAAAAACACATCAGGCAAGCCGATGACATAAAATTTACCAACAGGGGTACACCAAAGACGTCATTCAACATATCAGACAGACTAAAAAAGTACATAAACTTATTATTATTATTGTATATTATTTTTATAAGTATATTGTAGAATTTTCTCACCTTAACAGCTTTTCGTGGTAAATGATGATGTTTCTTAGAAACTCCATATCATGTTTAACGCCATTAGTCACCATTTTGGATTTAATTCTATAGGTCTCAATGCAATGGGCTATATAATCATAATGCATCAGCAACTGTGTGGCTGCGACACACAACAACAAATCAGCTGATATTTGTCCCACTGCCGTACAATAAGCGACACTGTATTGTGCTATATATATCGCATAATA